TTATCTGTTTGACCATCAACAGACACTTGGGCTACTTCCACATTTTAGCTATTATGAATAACGCTGCTTTGAAATGGGTGTATGAGTACCGCTTTTGGAATTGCTGGATCAGAAGGTAATTCTATTTTTAATTTTTTGAGGAATTTTCCGCGGTGGCTATTCCTTCCCAATAGCAGTGTACAGAGGCTCCTCTTCTCCACGTGCTCACCAACACTTGTTACTTTCTGGTTTTTATAATAGCCATCCTAATGGTGTGAGATGATATCTCATTGTCATTTTGATTTTATACCTTTCCTTTTTAAATTAACAAAAAATATTTTTTAATCCTAAAAATAAATAGTTACCCTTAAGCAATTGATAATGTAATGATAATGATGAGACTTGAAAAAATAGTGAAGAAATTGCTGTGAATGATATTTATTGCTCGAATGATATTTATATTTAGGTCAAGTGCAGTGGGTTTCAGAGATGCTACCAAGATAATAAAACAAGTGCCATCATCCAGGCTGAACTTTGTTCCTTACTTCATCCTTCTTCATTCTTAGCAACCATTATCAATGGTAATTGTTTGATGCAGGTGATAAACTTAATATCTAGTAGGGTCTTCTTTGGTTTGATCTAGAATAAGTAACCCAGTTTTGGAAGTTATAGGTTATTTTTCCTGTCTTGAATTTATCAATCCAAGAAATAAGTTTAAGTGGGATTTTTTTGCCTGTTAATATTTGGAATTTATTGAGGTCACAATTCTTATACTTTTCAAATGTAAGTTTGCAAGTTAATTTGTAATTAAATGCTAGTAATTGAAATCTTTCTCAAATCTGCCTTTAAGAGAAAAAGAAAAGCCAGTTGTGGTGGCGCATGCCTATGATTCCAGCAACTCCTCAAGAGACTGAGGCAAGAGGATTGCAAGTTCCGAACCAGCCTCAGCAACTTAAACCCTGTCTCAAAAGGAAATATGAAAAAGGGCTGGGGGGTGTGACTCAGTGGTTAAGTGCAAAAAAAAAAAAAAAAAGAAAAAGAGCCAGGAGCAGTGGTGCATGCCTGTAATCCCAGCTACTCAGGAAGCTGCAGCAGAGGATCACAAGTTCAGAGTCAGCCTCAGCAACTTAACAAGGCCCTAGCAACTTAGTGAGAACTTGTCTCAAAATTTTAAAAAAGGCTGAGGATGTGGCTCATTGGTTAAATGTTCACTCTCTTGTACCAAAAAAAAAGAAGAAGAAGAAAAGGGAAAAAAGAACTAGGTAAATAAATGGGGCAGATTACGGATTTTGCCAACTCTTATCTTTCTAAGCAGACTGGCACTAAATTTATATTTTGTTTCAACGTTTTTGGATATCAGAAAGGAAAAAGTTCTCCCAAATAGCAAGAGCTGATCATCACATTGGTAGAAACCTTCTGGAAGACTCCTTCCTTCTTTCCTTTCTCTTTTTCCTCTTCTTCCTTCCTTCCTTTTTAAATTTCCAGAGCGCATGCACAGAAAATTTTAAATGTTTCTTTCCCTTTAAATATTTCCTATAAATTCCAAAATTTATTTATTTCTGAAACTTGATTTGCTACTTTAATTTCTTTTTTAACTTTTTAAAAATATTTTTATTTATTTATTTTTATGTGGTGCTGAGGATCGAACCCAGTGCCTCACATGTGCGAGGCAAGCACTCTACCACTGAGCCATAGCCCCAGCCCTTCTCTTTTTAACTTTTTGCTGCTTTAATGGACTTCGAGATTTTTTTTTTGGTGGGGGGGATGGGGTGGTTTTGTTTGTTTATTTTATAGTACCGGGGATTGAACCCAGGAATGCTTAACCACTGAACCACATCTCTAGCCCTTATTTATTTGTTTATTTGTTTGTTTTGAGACAGGGCCTTGCTAAGTTGAGGCTGGCTTTGAACTTGAGATCCTCCTGCCTTAGCATTTTCTGTGCATGGGATTACAGGCATGCACCAGTACTATCCATCTGGATTTTGGGTTTAATAAAAAAAAATAGAGGGACTTGGAAAATAGCTAAGCTAATTCAGTTTGAATATTTTCAACAGGTATTCTCTGAACTGAAGTAAATGAACCCTATGAGAGACTTTTTGTGTAGCATACAAGATGAAATCATGAGATCTTTGTGGAAATCATGTGGTTTCTGCATTTTGTGTAACTGGTAGTGAATGGGTGTAAACTCTAGACAGGAGAGTCAAAGCATCTGTATTTCTTTGAAACTTAGAATTTATCTTTTTTGGGGGATGTTAATGAGCCTCTCATAAATTCTGACTTTTTCTCTCTGATTCCATTTGTAGAATTAAAATGGTCTCTTTCACTCCATCTGACTTTCTCAGGTTTGGAAATAAACTGAGGCTAAAGAGAGCTGTCTGGAGCTTGTTCTTGATGGGTTGGAGGGAATGTCCTGGGCTGCAGGTCACTTTCCTTTTTGTAACTCTTTGATCTTTTGTCAGCATATGAGGACTCTTAACTGCTGTACTCAATTATGCCACTTTAGAATTGCCCTGCTATTCTCAGTCTCTAATTTGGATAGTTTTTGGACAAGTGACATTTGGCAACAAAATATGCTTCAGTTGCTCTGAGTTGCCTTTAGATATGTTGAAGGATAGCTTGATCTTAACCTGGTTGTCCAGGAACTATGCACCTGCCTGACCTGTTGCTGAGTAACAGGAGAGAGTGGAGGGCTTTATGTGGGCAGCATCATAAAGATAACTTATTTAGTGAATTACCCTGTGAGGAGTTAAGGATGCTCTTAGTAGAAGAAGAGGTTGCTTATTGTAAACAGGCTTCTGGCTGTGGGTCTTTTTCCCCCTAGAGTTGTGGATGACAACTCTAGAATTTTCTCACATTGAAAGTTATTTAATACAATGGTAGCATTGGCTGATTTTATACATACAAGATAGCCAACTTTTATTTTTCCTTTAATTTCGCGATATAATTTTAGACTTTAAGAAAAGTTACAAGTATTTCCATATACCTTTCACTTAGTTCCTCAAATGTTAATGCTTTATCCTTCTTTGTTTTCATATACATACCATGTATTTGCATGTGTATGTACATACAGACACATATTTAGTTTTTCTGAAGTGCTTGAGAGTAAATTGTAGCCATCCTAACTACTTCGGCATGTGTTTCCTTAAAGACAAAGACAATTTCTTACCCATGCTTCCATGCTCAGAAATCGGAAGTTAACATTAATTCAGTGCTTATAGCTAATCTATAGCCTTCGTTCACATTTGCAGTTGTGCCTATAATGTTCTTTATAACAAAGAAAATCTCAGATCATGTGTTACATTCAGTTGTCACATCTTTCATATCTGGAAACTGTTGCTCAGTCCATATCTTGACATTGGCATTTTTGAAGCTTATAGGCTAGTTATTATGTAATATGTCCTTCCCTGGTTGGCTTTGTTTTTGTTTTAAATCAAATTGTGTAGTACTTCATTTTCTGAAAACAATGAAGTTCATAATTATGAAAAGGAGACTAAGGAGTAAAGTGCCTAAGTGGAGATGGGGCCAGGGACACAGCAGCCAGACCTGCTGTACTGGGAACCCTGGCAAAGTAGACAGTGACATTGTCTTTCACAGCTGACTTGCAAGGATGCAGCTAGAGTGCAGGTGCTCTGTTTCACAGTCTTCTCCTTTCCTCTTTCAATTGTTGAGAGCTGTGTGTCAGGGACCAACAAAAGATAATGGTCTTCTCAGCAACATAGCAAGGCCCTGTCTCAAAATAAAAAACTTTAAAAAGGACTAAGGATATGGCCCAATGAACTAACACCCCTGGGTTCAAGTATGGTTAAAAAAAAAAAAAAAAAATGATGATCTCTGGTATATGGTTGTGTTACTGTTCCCTGAACCCCTGCAACAGCTTTTGAGTTCTTGTTTTAACATTTCATACCAGACCCCACTGGCCTCTAGTTACCTATGCTATTGTAACAGTGTTTCAGCGATACAAAACTCCTTTTCCCCTTAGGTTTTTTTTCCCCCTCAGCCACTCTGGAGTACAAAAACACAGCATGGAATACTGTGGCATACAGAATCAGACCCCCAGATTTGATTCCTGGCCCCCCTCTACTGTTAGCTGTGACCTCCACTCTGCTGACTCTACTGCATAGAGGTTTTATTAGGATTATATTTACTACTGCCTAATAATTTGAAAATAATGGTGGTAACAGTGCTTACTATATGCCAATCACTGTTCTAAGTGCCTTGTAAAGCTTACTTGATTGAGATACCCTTATTTTTTCAGAGCTGCTTTTAGTCTTCAAATTCTTTGGTCCATGTAAGACAGGAAATGGTATGTGTAATGAGAGTATTTCTAATTAATGTCTTTGATTTTTCTATCTAGCTGTTTGATAGCTTAGCAGATAGTAGAGGTTTTCAATCACTACTTATCCAATCAGTTTTCTCCTTTGCTGATCCAACATCTTTCTTTAGGAATAGAATCTGTTGGGAAATTTTACAGGCTCTGTGCTGATTTCAGATTCTAGATATTAAGGAAATGGGAGTGGCAACAGGAAATGGGAGCCAGCAGCTGGGAAACAAGTTTGTAACTTGATGTCAGTGAACTGGTCTTCATTCCTGGAAGTCAAAATTACATGTAACTCATTGGAAGAGCACCCCATTTTGTTTCAGTTTTTCCATTTGTACATCCTTGATATGCAGCTGTTCAGAGCTTGAATACTTTCCATTTGACAGTTATCTAGTAAACATTTTATTTTTTGAAGTATGACATGGGTGTTCAAAAATTTTAAGTGCCTTAGATATAACTACTTAAACATCTTGACACATAGATTATACAAGTCTGTAAATGATTTAACTTAACTTTAAAAGTTCTTGTGGGCAAGCCCATTTTGTCTCAGTTTTTCTCTTCTGATTCAGGCATGCTCTTTTAATACATCCCAGTCCATAAGGTAGCATATGAACCATGTGATTGGCTTACATTGTTTTCAGGTTGTATTTATTATACTAACTTCAAAAGGAGTCTTACTTCTGATTACTCTTGTGTATTTAAGCCAGTGAAGAAAAAGAAGATAAAACGTGAGGTTAAGATTTTGGAGAACCTTCGTGGTGGAACAAATATCATTAAGCTGATTGATACTGTAAAGGATCCTGTGGTAAGTGGCTGATGGCTGAGAAGTGCGCTAATGGACCGGAGGTGGGGGGTGGTTGTTGAATATACAGAGCCTCAAGGTGCACAGTGTGTTTACTGGTGAATAGTTTTGAACACCAGACAAAAATCGAGATGGCCCAGTGATAAGGTAGCCACCACTATTTTTATAAGAATATAAAAGGATATTCAGAAAAACCCTTGTCCTGTGTTATCATTATTTTGATTTAGCCCACAAATGTTTGCTGTGTAGCTCCCCTGAGCCTCTGCTTTTGTCCTTTTTTTGAAAGCTTATTACTGCCAGTTTGCATTACCTTACCTCACTTAGTAAGCTTGACATTTGAAAACCTGTATTTACACAAGGAAATACTGGAGTATCTCTGTGTGGACACCTGGCATGTAGAGCTGAGCAAGTCACAGCCCACTAACCCCTTGAGGTCAAGAAGCCTGCTGCATCTTATAACTAGTCTTTAATTCCAGAGTAGATGCTACTAAAAGTTTTACCAATCAAAATAGTTTTGTGAAAATGCTTAATTTTTAGCCATTTTAGATGTGCTGTTTAATTTTGTTTTCTCTCCCTGGGGAGTAACTTAGCCTTAAGTTAGGACACCCACACACTTATATATACACATGTACTTTTATATCACTTTCTATCCCATTTCTGAACTCTGCCTTCTGTACCCCAAATATTTCCATGACTATTTTCTGTTTATTTAAGAAGTAGGTCTTTGTTTCTGTCTGCTATAGCGCATGTGGTGTAGTAGCTAATATGTATTGAGTGCTTATTGCAGGCCAGGCACTATTCAGAGGATTTAACTATATTGCATCATTTTAAAAAGCCTCAAACAATCCAGAGGGGTAGTTGCTGTCATTGTCCACATTGTAGTGATAAAAACAAAAGTCTACAGAAGTAATTTGCCCAAGGTTACACAGTATTGTTGAGTAAGAAAAGGTTTTTTTCCGGGCTGGGGATGTGGCTCAAGTAGTAGCACGCTCGCCTGGCATGCGTGAGGCACTGGGTTTGATCCTCAGTACCACATAAAAATAAAATAAAGATATTGTGTCCACCTAAAGCTAAAAAATAAAATAACTCCTCTTAAAAAAAAAAAAAAAAAAAGAAAGAAAGAAAAGATTTTTTCCTGTGGACCCTGGAAAGACCAAAAAGGGATGGTTGTATGCCAAAATGTATCTGATTGTCATTCAAAATATAGTCCATCCTGCATGGTGTTGCACATCTATAATCCCAGTGACTTGGAAGGCTGAAGCAGAAGAGTCACAAATTTGAGGCCTGCCCAGGCAACTTACACCCGGTTTCAAAAAAAAAAGATTTTTTTTTAAAGGACTGGGGATATAGCTCAGTGGTTGAACACTTGGCTAGTGTGTGTGAGACCCTGGACTTGATCTCTAGTATCACCAAAAAAAAAAAAAAGAAATATTTATACATATACATCCAACCTGCTAAGTTCAGACTGATTTAATAATGACTAGCCCAGGGCTGTCTAATGTTTGAAAATGGCCTACATTAAAAATGAGTGTTGCCCATTTTTAAGATATTTTTAAAAAAAGAATACATACATGAAAATATGTTTTCAGAAGAATTTTTAAAATGTGAGCCAGTGCCATAACATAGTATACCAGGAGTATCTTTTTTTTTGGCACCAAGTATTAAACCTAGGGGTGCTTAACTACTGAGCCACATCCCTACCCTTGCCTCGCTGAATTGCTGAGGCTGGCTTTGAACCTGTGATCCTTCTGCCTTAGCCTCCCCAGCTGCTAGAATTGTAGGCATGTGCCATTGCACCCAGCTCACCAGGAGCATCTTCATTTTTTAAAAAAATTAACAGAATTCAGTATTACTTAGTATATTTGTAATTTGTTAAAGTGTTTGTTTTACTACTTCATAGAACAAATTGGAGTAGATGAAAAGCATCAGGGAATCCTCATCCCCTAAGTTTGAGAGGATCAAACTTAGTCCTGAGTCCATAGAGCATTCTGATGGTCTTGATGAAACCTTTAAAATTTGGGACAGGTGAAAAATCATTTGTTCGCAGCTGCTGCTTGAGCTGTGCATTGTCCTGGCAAAGACCTGCGTGCATGCTCTGTGCCCTATTTCCTAGGTAACTTTCACCTAGTCCTGAAGCAAATGTTGTCAGCAGTGAAGATTTCCAAGATGGCTTTTTGTCGGTGTTGTTTCTATAACCCAAGCCTCTGCTTTTCTCCCGATTTTGAAAACTTATTACTGCCAATTAGCATTATTTTACTTCTGACATTTTGAAAATCTGTACTTCCATAGGAAGTATTAAACATTTTATACTTATTGCTTTAAAGACTATGGTGCTTTTAAAAATTTGATTAAGTATGATTTTTTGGGGAACATTGTCTTCTAAAGTGAGATATTCTAACTGGGGCAGTAATTTCACGAGGTAACTTATTGATAGTTTCACAGATAGTTACATTTTCTTTTGGGGGCCCTGAAAAGATTTGTAATAGATTCCCAAGACCTATGAAAATTCTGTCAAGTGCATCTTGCTTGCTAAACCTAGATGACATGTGTCACTCCTTTTGTAGTTGGCAAATTGAAATATTGCAGAGTGGATATCTTCATGAAATCAGACATCATAAAAATTTAAGAAAATATTTTTTAACAGACCATCCTTGATGATTGAGTCCCTTTTCATCTTAAATGAAATTTAGAAATGGACCAGTATGGCAAAAACAAATTACATTCATTACTGTCTGAATACCTAAAAAGCATTAATATTTTCTCTTACAGTCAAAGACACCAGCTTTGGTATTTGAATATATCAATAATACAGATTTTAAGGTACGTGTACATTTTCTTTCTGATATAGGGTTGTGGGAGGGTGGAGAGCTGGTGATGAGTACAGCTGGAATTCCAGGACACAGAGGTGCCAAGGATGTCCTTGTGAGAGTAGGAATAACAGATTGGATTCTTTACACAGGAATACAGGGTGCAGAAAGTATTGGATTCTTGCATTTGGTGAAGTTATCACCCTTTGTCTGGCTTACTCTGAGAGTAACTGCCCATCTGGGTCTAACCTAATGCTTCCTGTTTTAGACAATAGTTTTATGTAGATGTTAACTTTGATTTTTATAAGAAATCTTACATTGCTGATGGGAGGGATAAAGTGATTTAGGGCCCTTGGGGGGAAAGGCAGTATATTGAATTGGAGATGTGAAATGATGACTGTGTGTTCATATACACCAAGCAAGCAAATCGTACTGAAACCTAGTTATTAGGAGTCACTGCTTTAGAGGAGCCCTGTCATGGGATATTTATATTTTCTTATAATGTGTATTGATTTAGATTTTGAAATGTTCTTTTAAGAGCATGGTTTTGAACTTTTTTGATGAATTTCTTCTTATTATTGTTCAAAAACTTTTTTTTTTTTTTTGGTGTGTGTGTGTGTGTGTGAGAGAGAGAGAGAGAGAGTGTGTGTGAGTTAGATGCTAGGGATTGAACCCAGGGCCTTATGCATTTGAGGCAAGCACTGGACCAACTGAACTATATCCCCAGCCCCCAAAACAAACTTTTAACTTCTGATAAGACTTTGGGGTTAGACATACTGGTAGAAACCCATTTTTAGTGCATAATTTGAAAATATAAATAACAAAATATTGGTGTTGATTTTCAGCAGGATTTAAAGGACTGTAGGTGATCATAACTCTGGCACTGAATCAGAGACATGATTTTTTTGCTATAGTCCTACTATCGGGAGTGGTGCTTTGAGTGAAAATATAAATCCTCCGTTTAATTTGTCTTAGGTAACTATTCTAAAGTAAAGTTAGTGGAAAATAAGCAAAAGAAAGAAGAAAAAATTTTCAGTTATAAAGCAATAAGTAGTAAGTTTTATATACCACATAGCATTTTCCATGGGTAACTGATATTCCTGTTAATGTGAGTCACTACAGATGAAATCTTCAATGAACTCTAAAAAGTGGGATGTAAGCTGGGTATGGTAATGCACCACACCTGTATTCCCAGCTACTCAGGAGACTTAGAAGAAGAATCCCTAGTTTGAGGCCAACAGGACAAAAAAGTGTGCCCCCCCGCCAACAAAAAAAAAAAAAAAAGGCCAGGGAGGGATTGTGAATCTCTTCCATCCCGTAGCAGAGGATTTAGCTGGTAGAGTACTGTGCCATGTAGCCAATCCTGTGAATCACCCAGGTCTGTCAAGATGTACATGAGTGGGAATGTGTATTCCTGTCCTAGAGTGCCAGACAGACTTTGATAAAACCATTTTCCTAATGCTGAAATTTAAAAACTGCTCACAATGCAGCATCATAGTGTATGTAGAGCCCTTCGATTAAAATACCTGTGCTTTATTAATGAGTTTTTACCAGCTGTCTGGTCACATGTGTAAAATTTCACAGCAGCAATTTGTGTTTCTTAAAGGTGACATCTGTCTTCCTGGTTGATGTTAACAACATGGAGATCAGTTAGCAGGAATTCTCATTCCCTGGGAAATTGTATTACTCTGGGTGGGACTTGAAGCCTGGGGTGTTTTGAAGTTTGAAGAATACACACATTCTCCTTCTTTAAAAGGTCATTGGGATCAGTGTTTTTTGATGCATACATCTCTGAAAATATCTGTAATTTATCCTTTTGATTTGTAAAGAATTCTAGATTGAAATTCAGAATTTCCTCCATTTTGAAAAGATTGTTCCAGTATTACCAGTAAAGCCATTCCAGTTGTATCTGACGTGATTTTTTTTTTTTCCCTTGAAGATTTTAGGATTTTCTCTTCATTCCCAGTCTTCTGAAATTTCACAATGATGTGCCTTCCTGTGGGTTCCTTTTATCTTTTGTTCTGGATGCTTGCTGGGTTTTTTCTAAAAATTCATGTTCTTCATTCTGGGAAAATATTTTTAATGTTCTTTGATTTTTCTCCCCTTTCTTCTTTGTTCTCACTTTCTAAAACTCATTCAAATGTTAGACTTCATATCTTAGAAGTCCATTTCAATTTTTGAACCCTTAAAAATAGTCTTTTTCTTTTATGTTTTATGTAATAGCTTTATTTTCTTCATACCTTTTCTCTATTTTTCTTCCAATTGCTTTGTGATTATTATTTGTCTCTATGATAATTGTTTGAAATATTATGGTTCATATTTTGGAGTAATGCTCTGAAAAGCAGTCAGCTTCTATCTCGAGGACATAGCTTAGCCCTGTATCTGCTGGCATCTTAGTCTTAAGTTGATGAGAGCTATGGGGGGTGTTAAGAGACTTACACTTAATTCCTCGTTTCCAGTGTGGTCTTTAAACCCGTTTTCTGTTTTCAACTCACTCTGTTTACTCTCTTTCATCCTGAGCCTTTCTGTAGTTCTTCAGTTTGTAGTTTTATATTCTGGGCCTAATTCACTATTGGCAGAATTTTTAGCTTTTTTTTGGTCTGTAGAATTAGCTGGACATTTCTAGCTTTGGAGTGTTGTCTCTTCCTCCCTGAGTTCTTGAGAGTTCTCTCTCCTTTTACTGTTATTCCCCCGCTCCTTTGATTGTTATTTTAGAGGAGCTTCAGAAAGAAGCAGAGGTGTTTGATCTGTCATGTTTAATTGGAGGTCCCCTTGAATGTTCAAGTCATGACATTTTAGTTCACTTACAAGATTATTAAATATCAGGTAGTAGGTGTGTATTCTGGAAGAGCAAAATAATGGCAGGAGAGTTACTTTTTTTCCCCAGATAGTATGATAGGCATAGTCTGTTGGTTTAATGTCCTAATGTCCTTTAGGCTTATGTGTCTATCTTACTAGGAAAGTCTCTTTTTCCTTTTTTTTTTTTTTTGTTTGTTTTAACTATAAAGGATATTGATAATTGCTTTTAAGGTGTCACCCAGAGAGTTTGTCACTGGCGTAAGAACAGGATAAATCAACAGTGGTGGCAGCTGGGGATGCAGCTCAGTGGTAGAGTGTTTGCCTAGCATGTATATATATATAAGGTCCTGGGTTCAGTCCCCAGCATGGAGTGGGCGGGATACTACAGCTGCAGCCCATTCTTTTTAGTACTTTTTATTGGCACAATTAATAATTAATTTCCTTTTATTGTTAGAGTCCTGATTTTGTATCAAGGTTATACTAACTTTCATTTTCTTGTTTTAATCTCTGAAAGTACATATAAGAGAGGTAAATCCAGGTAGGTGTCTGTTAGAGGTGGGAGGAAAACTTTGGACTGTACATTCCTTTTAAAAATATACTATAGGGGGCTGGAATTGTGGCTCAGAGGTAGAGCACTCGCCTAGCATGCGTGAGGCACTGGGTTCGATCCTCAGCACCACATAAATATAAAGACATTGTTTCCACCTATAACTAAAAAAAAAATAGGTTAAAGTCTTTCAAGGTTTTCTCTTCACAGTCTGTTTGGATAATATTTCTAAAGTTATTCACTTTAAACTTTATTGTCATGAAGTTATTGATAAAATTCTCTTTAAGACTTAAAAACTCTATCTGTAGTTAGGCTTTCCTTTAAATTTTAAACATTATCCATGCCTTTGTTCTCTTTTTAAAACTTTTTTAGGTAAACCTTGCTAGATCTAGATCTCTTACCCTTTCAAAGAACCAGCTTTTGGATTTATTGTTCACCTTTATTCTTGTTATTTTTTGTATTTCATTCTCTTTCTTCTCCTGTCTTAATTGTTTTTCTTCCTTCAATTTTCTTGGGCCTCCACTGGTTTTTCTCTGACTGCTTGAGTTGGAGTCAGCTCATTTGATTTGTTTCAACTTTCCTTGATTCATAATACATGTGCTTAAGTTTATATAACCTCAAGCACCATTTTAGATGTATTCCATGGTTGTTGAACTCTATTTCTAGATAGTTGTTTAAATTATAAATGCAAATTCCAAACTTGAGGATTTGGATTTTACCTTCTAGACTTTTTCCATTAGAAATTTTATTTTGCCACATTTGCAGTTATTTTTCTTCCTCCCCTTTCTATCTCTTTTGTCTTTTTGCTGAGTCATCTTGAAGCTTCAGATGAAAAGGTATCATCATGATATTCCTCCACTCCTGAAGATGTCAGCACTGGCATCAGGTCATTCTCCTGCATAACCACAATGCCATTCATACACCCAAGAAATTTAATATTTATGATAATGCCATCTAGTATAAAATCCATATTCAAAATTTCACCATAATTATCCCAGTAATATCCTTTCTTCCTGTGAGTTTGTTGGTCAGAATCCAACTTTTTTTTTTTAAGAAAATTATTATTTTATTGTTGATTCCTAATTTGATGGCACTGTGTTCAGAGAACATGATATATACAGGTGAACATCCTTAATCTAAAATACTCCACAGTTCAGAACTTTTATAAGTACTCATGTGATGCCATAGGTGGAAAATTGAAATCACCATGAAATAGAGTTTCATGCACAAGATTATATAAAGTATTGTATAAAATTACATTTTTATACAGTCTCTGTGTAAGGTGTATGTGATACGAATGAATTTCATGGTTAGATTTGAATATCCCCAAGGTGCTTTGTTATACCTACGCAAATATTACAAAATCTGAAAACTGAAACATTTCTGGCCCCAAGGATTTCAGATTAAGGGAACTTCAGCCTATATAATGTTGATTATTTGAAATCTGTTCATCTTTGCTTTGTGATTTTAGTGCATGGTCATTTTTTATACCATACTTGTTAGTTAAATTGTTAGCCTTGACTTTTCCCTTATAGGTTAAATCAGGGGAAGAAATGAACTCATTAACATTGTTTTGTCATTTTCTTGTAAGACTTCAAGAAAATAAGTGATGTTTTCAATTTATTTATTTGTTCCATTACAGATTTGTTCTAGTTCCCTAAATTTCTAGAAATGTTGGCCTTGGTTTTATTCTACATTTTGGAGGTTACAGGTTAAAAACAGCTAAACTGATAACTGTGATTTAAACACCTCTTTCACTTTCACTTTAAATCTCCCCCCCCCCCCATGTGGCCAGCCCTGGAAATTATGGACATAGGGCTATGTGAGGGAATGCCTCAAATGACAGTTGGGCATGGGCCTTGATCTGGCCTTGATCTCCTTAAGACACAGCTGCATCTGAAGAGCTGCCTGAACGTGCAGCAGGAATGAGAGAGATCCACTGGTGGCCATCCTATGGTGTCTGTGGCTTGAGATCCAGGAGGCCCTGAGCCAGGCGAGCAAGTTGCAGCATCTGCCATTTTCTTCCTATCTGCCCCCTCTCCCCACTTTGTGTGGTGGTACTGGGGATTGAACCCAGAGGCACTCTACCACTGAGCTATATCCCCAGCCCTTTTTATTTTTTGTTTTGAGACAGGGTCTTGCTAAGTTGCTGAGGCTGGCCTTAAATTTGGAATCTTCTTGCTTTGGCCTCCTGAGTTGCTATACACCACCACACCCAGCCACTTTGAGCCCTTTAGAGCAGTCCTGTAGTGGAACTGATTTCTAGAGAAATACCAGTGTATTTGAGAATTTGCAGCCAAACGAGGACCAGTGAATAGTTTTTCATTGGTACCGTCATAATCTTTCTGGAAGCATTGGCTTTTTTTTTGTTTTTTTTTTTAATATTTATTTTTTAGTTGTAGTTGGACACAATACCTTTGTTTTATTTATTTTTATGTGGTGTTGAGGATTGAACCCAGGGCCTCACACATGCTAGGAAAGCAATCTACCACTGAGCCACAACCCCAGTGTTTTGTTTCTGATAAGTCATTCTATGATTATATGAGCAAAGCTATATTCCTGCCAATATTTATATTTTGTTGTTTAATAATATTCTACACATAGCTAGAGGGAAAGTATGGACCCTTTGGAGTTTCCCTTTTGAATTTGTTATGGACTCTTCTAGGTTTTTTTTTGTTTTTTTTTTTTGTGTGTGTGTGTGTTAGGGTTTGAACCCAGGGCCTTATGCATGTGAGGCAAGAGCTCTACCAACTGAGCTGTATCTCCAACCTCTTCTATTTCTTGAAAAAGAGCTTCTGTTTTGTTCCATTGATTAGTGATCATTATAAAAACATGTGCAGAGAACCACCATACTTAGTGTGGAGTAGATAAAGTATATGCTATTCTATATGAGGATTAGAAGAAGGTTGAGGAGTGTGGAGAAAATGCGTGTGGTACCCAGATATAGAGTGGAACCTCAACATACTGGGAGGGTAGGGAGAGTTCAGAGGTCTTGGATCACCAAACTTGTGACCATCAGCTGCTGCAGTACCCATCTCCCCTCATCATGTATGTGTGGCATGATACCCAGGGAATGCTGGCATGAGGTTCTTGAAGTGAAGTAGCCTCATGTTTACAACAGTGAAAATTTACCTTGAGAACTTTGGGTCACTGCCATTTCTTGGTCACCCAAGTGAAGAATGTTAACCCTGGGGACACTAGTGATGTTAGTGTCCTTTGACCACCACAAATTGAGAACAAATGGCCTGGGAGTTCAGAGAAGGGTGAGACCACTGTCATTCTGTAAAAATCGGATGGGATGGGTTTGATGTTGCATGTTAAGAGCAGGGAGAGGGAAGAGTAGAGGTAGCCAGCTCAGGTTGTGTGGTCAAAGACGGGGACTCCTGGGAGATGGAATGGAGATCAGAGCTATAAAAGTTAGAGGAAGCAAGACTGGACCCTGGAGAGGCCCAAATTTTAGACCCAGGAAGTTAAAAGTTACAGATAATGTGTCCTTCCTCCTAGAGCTCCTGAGAAGGGAGGATGAAGTACAGTCATCCAGTACTTTGTGATATATTAGGTCTAAGCACTATTGCATAGCTGATATCTTTTGTATTAAGTAACATTGATACTGAGTAGAATAACTAGAGATATTATGTCAGTAGTCCAAGGACATTAGTTTTTATGCTTTATGCCAATTTTACACAGATGCTTGGTATACATACCACATAATATGAGAGGAAGTCCAAACAAAATAGTTCATATTGGTTTTCTGGAAGTAAAATATTCTAGCCCTCCAAGGCTTAGAGAATTTGATCTTTTCTCTTTCACAGGCTATTTATTGACTTGATGTTTAGTTTAGAACAGTCTCTCTGAGTGATCTTCCTTAACACCCAAGATGGTATCTTAAGCCTGCGCCTGCACATTCCAGCTGTCGGTTGTGGCCGAGTGCTAGCTAAGAAGCCTCCCTTGCAGAACAGAGCAGCAAGAACAAAAAAAAAAAAAAAAAACCCTGAGATTTGGTTGTTATGGATCTGAAGCTCTCCTGAGTAAAAATAGTGGCTTATTTGTGTCACTTAGCTCCAATGCAGTTCAGCCCCAACCAGGGTCGGCCATCAGCACTGGAGCAGCTTCAGGACACTGCCAACGTACTGGTCTATGCCTGTTAATTCCCTGCCATGCCCTGAGCTAGCAGCTGTCTGAGGATGATGAAGTCATATATTCTCACTAAGCTGGGAGAGTTACCTTTAACTAAAAGGGGAATAAAAGTGGAAGTGTAGCCTATTCTCCCCTGTACATACTGATGAAATAACTCCTGTATCATTCTACAGATATATGGTCTTATCTTTCCCCTTTACATAGATACATTGTGTATGTTGTTCTGTGTTCCTTGGAGAGATTCCCTACACTACTTGAGTCTTTCTTCCATTAAAGGAACAAGAGAAGCTTCATAAAGGCATTTGGTTAATTTTTATACAAATTGCTGCCTAGATTGATGGGAAAAGAGATTTATTTGGAATTGATTAGATATCAAAGGTAATAGTATAGTTTTTGACAAGAATCTATGATGCTTTTAATGAATCTTGTACTCTCTTAGAAGAGAAATGTTTTTAGAACTTCAATGGGTGGGTCTTTGGATTATCAGTAATAAAAGATTTCATCTGTTTGTCATTTGGCCTGTGATAATTTTTGGCACTCCATCTTTTTCTTTTTAATGCCTCACTCCACTCCTTTTTTCTTACCCACAAGGCATCAGTTATTGCTTGTGGAACATTCTTTTCCAGCCTGGAATTGATTTGGGGGGCAGGAATGGATGTTTGAAATCTTTTGCCATCTCTGAATGGAAGAGCAACTCATTGTCCTCAAGTTTCTTTCACAAACAGTTCAATATTAACAACTGTTATGCCATAAACTTCATCAGCTGATGAAGTTCTTCAGAACTCAGTTCTCCAGAGTACACTGTGGTGCTGCAGGGTTTGATTAATTGCAATAAGAATACGAGGACATGGGCTGGGGTTGTGGCTTAGCGATAAGAGTGCTCGTCTAGCACGTACAAGGCCCTGGGTTCAATCCTCAGCACCACATATAAATAAATAAAATAAAGGTATTGTGTCCAACTACAACTAAAAAAAAAAAAGAATATGAGGACAATTGGGTAATGTAGACGTCACAATAAAGTAACTGTGCTTATTAAAATCACGGAGCATAAAATAACCAAAAATCCAAGTTGGCTTAACTGTTTTCTTCCCGTGGAATTCCTTTTGCGTTTTTGTTTTGTTTTGTTTTTCTGGTCTCTTTTGAAGATTGAAATATTTCTAATATCATTCCTCATCTTTACCATTTATTCCAAATCGGGTAGTAAAATGCCTGTGGGGTTCCTTAGTATCTTAAGCACTAAGTTTGCAGAGAATGACTGACACTTGGGATGACAAGTCCCAATGAGACTAAACTAACTTTGTTTTCTGAAATCTGTTTCAGCAACTCTACCAGATCCTGACAGACTTTGATATCCGGTTTTATATGTATGAACTACTAAAAGTAAGTAACATTCATAAACAGTGAAGTTTTTCAAGTTCATCTATTAAAGAAGCTTTTGAAAGGACAGAGAGACCGCAAGCAGAATATTTCTTGAGGTTTAACTTTTGTGGCCTCCATCATGGAATCTCACATAGAAATTTCCGTTGGAAGGCTGGGGTAGTAGCTCAGTGGTAGAGCGCTTGCCTAGCATGTGTGAGGCACTGAGTTTGAGTCTCAGCACCACATACAAACAAATAAATGAAATAAAGATCCATCAACAACTGGGAAAAAAAAAAAAAGAAGGAAGAAATTTTCCATTGGAACTGGGAAAGATGGGCAAGTCAAAGGGTACAAGGGTCATTATACCAAATATTAGAATCTCATAGTTGTTTGGGTTTTTCTTTGTTTTTTTTTTTTTTTTTAAATAATTTATCATTCCTCATAATTTCATGAGTTAGCTATGTGATTCTTTAGGTCTGGGTCAACTTGACTGGGTCAGGATGGCCCCATTTACATCTGGGATCTCAACTCAGGCAATTGGGATAGTTGAGGTCTCATCCTCCAGGAGTTAGTTCAGGTCCACCTAGAGTTAGTCCACCTAGAGTCCCACGGTAGTCTCTAGGTTAATACAGGGAAAAGTGGTGGGTGGATCTTCTAAGTGACTTACTAATCCCAAACACTTTGAAATTTTGAAGCATAACTGGTTGATGGAGGAGTGATCATTTTTAGTTTGTCAAGGTAAACACTTAGGCTAAGAATTCTAAAATGCTATAAACCAGTGGGTCCTAACTTCTTAGGGTCCTGGATCATTAAGAACCTGATGAAAGCTGTGAACCCTCCTGTCGAAGTACATCTATAAATATACAATATTGCCTAAAACTTTAGGGGGATGTAGATCTCAAGAACCTCTGAAAGAAGATAGAGATGACAGAGGTCATAATTGAAGAAAATTGCCAAGGTGGGGTTTTGATGGGATTGTGAAGAGTGTGAATCAAAGTACTGGTCCTTGGTACCTGTAATCCCAGCAGCTTGGGAAGCTGAGGCAGGAGGATCGAGTGTTCAAAGCCAGCCTCAGCAAAATCGAGGCACTAAGCAACTCGGTGAGACCCTGCTTCTAAATAAAGTACAAAACAGGGCTGGAGATGTGACTCAGTGGTCGAGTGCCCATGAGTTCAATCCCGGTTACCAAAAAAAAAAAAAAAGAAGAAATGGATGTTTTCTAACTACTTGCACAGACCACATGACATTAGAGAGAACCACAGTGGTGTATTTGGGGGTTCATTCATGTCTACTGGGTTTCCTTTGTGTGAGTAGAAAGATGAAAAGAGGTAGCACTTGATTGACCCCATCTTTCTCGTCCTTTCTAGACTAGAATTGAAGCTTTAGTGTGGAAGAGGTTTGTAGTGCTATGCCTATGAACTGTCAGGCTAGCCCTTCCCTGAAGGTCTTCCCAGAAAATCCCATGCACTTTTCCCATGGGAGCTATAGTCCAAATCTCACAGGTGGTTATTATTGAATCCAGTATTGAGATTTTGCAGTTTTTAGCTAGCACCAGCAAAATAACGATTTATAACCTAGCACATTGGTCCTTAGGTCAGGCAAAGGAAGGCACCCCTGTAATATAGGTTTTTACAGGATAGCCAGGCAGATGTCATTCAGTGCTCACCTAAGTCCTGCTTTCTGGAGACTGGAATAGGGCATGTTTCTTTCTGCTAATAAAGCATAGATTCCAAGTGAAACTTGAAAAACATCTTTCATGCTTAATGGTCAGAAACTGTACCAGATTTTAAAACTGAAATAATTCCCCAAGGAATTTAAAAGCATGTCAGTAACTCCACAGGGAGTCTGACTGGTGAACTTGGCAAGAGAATTAATTACTTCACTGTATTTGTTCAGCCTTTGCTTTCATTGGGTATCTTTTACATCTAGGTATTGTGGTTCTTATTAGTTTATTTCTGTTGGCACACTAAGCAAAACAACAGAATCAACATTGCTAAATTTTCTCTTTGGGGAAAAATACAGGAGTTGGGTAAAGGCAATATTTAACTTCATTGAAAATATAAAAGAAATTGAGGCTGAGGGTCCATGTGACTCAGCAGCTCCCTGAGGCTTTGCAACAGAGTCTGATCTGATTCAATTTGAGAGAGATCAGCCCTCATGACCCTTGATTTCCTAAGGCACTGTCTCAAAGGCACTTTAGAATCTTGCTACAACTATTGTAAAGCAAAGAAAAATATTAAATTGAAATAGAATGCAAGTGAAGTGAATAAGTCTTAAGTGTACAGAATTTTACATTTTACATAAGTAAAACCTTCATGCAAATGTATATAGGACCATACTATGCAATATGGTAGCTGCTACTCATAGTTAGCTGTTTCAATTAAGTAAAATGAAGAATTCAGTTCCAGGCTAAGGATGTAGCTTGCCTTGCATATACAAGGCTCTGGGTTCTATCCCCAACACCTGGGGGAAAAAAAGATTTCAGTTTGTAGTCATAGTAGTCACATTTCAGGTGCTCATTTCATGTGACCTGTGTTTACTGTATTGTTCAGTGCATACAAAGACATTATTCCAGAAAGTTCTGTTGGACCAGGGCTGTAGAAATATTATAAGCATCCTGGAAGATTCTCTTGTCCACCTTCCTTTTCATATTTCCTCCTCTGGAGATATTGTTCTTACCTCTACCATCACAGTTTAATATTACTTGGTTTTGATCTTTTGATCAAATAAAAAGCATTATACATTGCACAGCCTTGTGTGTAGGGAAGGCAAAGTCAAGACCAGCTTGTTCTGGAGTGCTGATCCTGGGGTCATTCTCTGGATTATGTGTTCTTTAGTACAGTGTCTGTCTTGGTCTGTTCAGAGTTTCCTAATCAGGTTGAGTTTGTCCCCCACAGGGCAGTAGTTGGCAGTATCTGGAACCATCTGTGTTGTTAAAACTGGAAGCAGGGCTGGGGTTGTGGCTCAGTGGTACAGAGCTTGCCTTGCACACGTGAGGCCCTGGGTTTGATCCTCAGCACCACATAAAAATAAATAAGTAAATAACAAAAGTTTGGTTTGGTTTGGTTTTAATGGAAGCAGAGGTGGATATTGGCATCCAGCAAGTAGAGCCCAGTAATTCTGCTTAACATTCTCTAATACACCAGGTAGCACCCCACAATAAATTACCTGATCCAAAATGTTAACAATGCTGAAGTTGTGAAAAATTCCACATGAAAATTTCCACAAAGAGCACTCACTGGTATGCACATGATAGTTTTCATATGATTATGGGCTGCTGTCACATTACTTAAAGAATATATAAATCATTGACCTCGTGCGACCTTTAAGTGCTTTTAATACAAGCCAAGGATCCTATCTTTGAAATTTATGGAAATAATTAATTGTGTTAGGAAGAGAAATCTAACAGATTTTTATGTTTAAAAAAAAAAAGAAAGTTTTCCACATCTCATTAGTTTATTCCTTTGGCAACAACTATGAAAAATAGCAGAATCAAAAACTTTTAAAAATGACTTTCATGGTAGTGGTCAGATACTGTACCAAATTTGAACAAAGATTTGAATAAATATTTCTCCAAAAGCAGTATAGAATATCCAGTAAGCACATGAAAAGACATTCAACTTCATTCATTCATAGGAAAAGAGAAATCAAAACTACAATGAAATATTACTTTGTACCTATTGTAATAGCTATAATTTAAAAAAAATGAACAACGACAAGTACTGGTAAGAATGTAGAGATGCTGAAATCCTTATTTATTGCTGGTGGGAATACAAAGTGGTACAGCCACTATGAAAGATAATTAGGCAGTTCCTTAAAAGTTAGGTGTAAATTTACCATACAACCTAACACTTCTGCCACTAGGAATCTACCCAGGAGAAATGAAAGCATTTGTCTTTCAAAGACTGTGCATGAATGTTCATAGCATCTTCATTCTTAACAGCTAAAAAAGTAGAAACAATCCAAATGTTCACCAGCTAGAATATTCATAAAATGAACTGCAAGAAAATAGCAGTATGAGTGAATCTCAAAAGTATTATACTGGGCCAGGTATGGTGGCTCATGCCTGTAATCTCATTGGCTCAGAAGGATCACAAGTTCAAGACCAGCCTGGACAACATAGTGAGTAGAAATCTAGCTCAGTGTTGGAGCACTTGCCTAGCATGCATGAGGCCTTGGGTAACACACACACACACACACACACACACACACACACACACATACAGGAAATCCTCAGTAACTGATACAAAAAGGGATTATGAAATGAAAGAAAGTAGAGTACTGTACTTTAATCATGTCATTTTATTAATGTTCAGAGGTAGCAGATAACAGGTGGGGCATATTTGGGAATGGGGATTGACTGCAAACAAGTTCAAGGGAAATTTGATAGAGGGGGATTCTAAAACTGGATTATGGTGAGGGTTGCACAGCTCTCTAAGTTTACTAAAAATCATTGACTTGTATACTTTAAAATCTTTTTATCAATTATAGGAAATTATTGTTCCCTTTGAGCAATAATATTGATAGCTGTTAAAGACCAGCTGGCTTTAACTACTATTTAAGGAAAATATTAATGTTTTTTAATCTAGAAGACCCACAAAGACCAGCCATGTTCATGTCCACATGGACTCTGGAATCTCCTTTGAGCCACTATGAGAGGTGGCTCTGGCTGGGTTCCCAGAACTGGTTTCATCCCCCCTTTTAAAGAAACTTTCAGCATGGCCCTCTGTAGCTCCCTTTCTATCAGCTGCCCATTGTTGTATTCACAGAGAGTAAGGAGCATTCTCCAAAAGCATGTTTTTCCCTTTCCTTATAGGCAGTAAACTGCTCCTTGGGAGACCATATTCACATCAAAGTGTCACAAACAAAATAATAAGAATGTACTTGCATTGGGGGGGTGGTAGAGGGTTTGCTTACTTTTCTCTGTGCTTTCTTACCTAATAGGCTCTGGATTACTGCCACAGCAAGGGAATCATGCACAGGGATGTGAAACCTCACAATGTCATGATAGATCACCAACAAAAAAAGGTACCATTACAGCCAGGCAGCAACAAGCCTTCATTAGAAGGCTTAGGGCCAACCTAAAGCTGCCCCTACCAAGATGGTTTTTGTAGCCATACTATTTCCTATGACCAACTTGTGTCGCTGTCGTTTGTCCAGTCTCTAACGTTGTTTTCTACTGGGAAAATGGACAGATGACCTGACTGTAGTCACTTGTTTTATTTTGGTCTTAGTTTTCCAAAGGGCCTCAGAAAAAGAAACTACAGCTGGTGGTTTCTGCTTCACTTCTTAATGACCCTCAGACCAATCTGCCTGGCCTTAAAAGTACACTTGGGGCCCTCCTAATTTTGATATCCAACTCTGGTTGTCCCTGATTGGTGAGTAAATGGATCAGCTAGTATTAGACAAGCTAGAGCCGTGCTTCAGTCCTGGGGTGGGCCATGTGTTCCCAACCCTTCTAGTTATTCCTGGAGCTTATGATGAAATCTGAGTGATGGGGCAGTGTGATACACATGTAAGTAGTATGGAAGCAGAAAAAAAGGTTGAGCTCTATTGATTTAGAATGATTTTAAAAAAGCATTCTGAGTGCTCTGCTCCAGAAATGACCTCTTTACTTTTGCTGAAAATGTAATTGTTTAACAGTACACCTGCTCACATTTTTTTGTGTGGCTAAATAGTTGTTATCAGAAATGTGATGTGGTCTTGCCCTAGGCATAGGAATCTAGAAACACTCTTTTCACATGTTTTATTCTGTCATGTTTGTAGCTGCGACTGATAGACTGGGGCCTGGCGGAGTTCTATCACCCTGCTCAGGAGTACAATGTTCGTGTAGCTTCGAGGTACTTCAAGGGACCAGAGCTTCTTGTGGACTATCAGGTGAACTTGGTAGCAAGGCTGCTCTGGGTTGTTTTGGTACTTACTGAGGGCTTTTTCTGCTTTGTTATTTATTTAGTAAGTTGCATATATTCAATTCTCAGTCATTATTCCACCCCAGAATGCTAGTTGCAGATTTTTCTCAACAGCTTTTTTTTTTTTTTTAGGAGGAAGAAGTAGTTTTTAATTCTCAACTGTCTGCAAAGTTCACATAAAGACTAGAAACTCAGATTAGAAAAGTGGGTTTCTAACATCCTTGTCTGACTGGTTGTCTTTGTTTCCTCAGATGTATGACTATAGCTTGGACATGTGGAGTTTGGGCTGTATGTTAGCAAGCATGATCTTTCGAAAGGAACCCTTCTTCCATGGACAGGACAACTATGACCAGGTGAGCAGAAAACCATCTGGCTCTTACATGTTTGGGGATGAATGTCAAGAAAATGGTGTGCTTGGAATATTCTCCTTGAGCCACTGCATGTCACTCAGTGTGTACATATAACCCTCTTTTTAAAGTTTAGAATTTCTTAGACTTTTGTCTGAGGTTATGAGGTCCCAACAATACAGATAATGCTCTCTTTCTTATGAAGAAGTCAGGTGACTCCTTTATCTAATAAAACTAGATTCTAGTTATTAGATTGTGATAACCCCATAATTGTTAGTTTCTAGAAGACTACTGTCATAAGTTATGTTCTCCCTTTAAAGGCAGTTTGGAAATATGCATTCATGTGAGCCTCATGTCCTTGAGTCTTTTGGCCAGTCCTAGACTCAGATCTCTGCCTGGTCCCTGGAGATCAAGTGGTATGGAATCTGCAGTTCCCTGGCCCAGCATCCTCACAGGCTCACAGTGAGTTCTGTGCTCAGTGATTTGGTAGTTTGTTTTGTGTTTCAGCTTGTTCGCATTGCCAAGGTTCTGGGTACAGACGAGCTGTATGGGTATCTGAAGAAGTATCATATAGACCTAGATCCACATTTCAACGATATCCTGGGACAGTAAGTAAGAGAGAGAGAAAGAAAAAGGGCTTTGCCTTACCCAGTTTCAAAAGTGGGAAGGTTAGCCAAAATCATTCTTTCCCTTTCTAGTTACATCAAATTGAAGTATCTTTTTTTTTTCTTTTTTAATTTGTTTTGTTTGCTGTACTGAGACTGAACCGAGGACCTCTCAGACATGCTACGCAAGCACTGTACCACTGAGCTATCTGCCCGATTCTTTTTATTTATTTATTTATTTTAATATTTATTTTTTAGCTATAGTTGGACACAATACCTTTATTTTATTTATTTATATGTGGTGCTGAGGATCAAACCCAGGGCCTCACATGTGCTAGGCGAGTGCTTTATCACTGAGCCACAACCCCAGCCCAGTTCTTTTTATTTTGAGACAGGGTCTCACTGAGTCATACAGGCTTACCTCAAACTTAAGATCCTCTTATCTCTCAGCCTCCTAAATTTCTGGGATTACAGGTGTGCACCACCATAGCTTGTTGCTGTGTGTGTTTTCTTTAAATTATTTTGAAGTATTTGGACACAGTTTATATTTGTCTTCTAGTTCTTTTATTTCTTTATGAGATAATCTGTATCAATAGAAAATGGAGGGCAAAATCATAATGTTACAGAAAAAAGCTTTCTGGTACAGCATATGCATTAATTTTAATGACAAATCTTGGAAAGCTGTGTTTCTTCTTTGAATAAGAAACTGATAGTTTCTTGTTTTCTGTAATAGATTTTTCTATAAGGTAACAAGTATTATAGCATTGAGGTTTTTGGTACAGTGCAGTAGTTTTAAAGGAAATGCTTGATTGACAGTTTTCAAACATTCTTTTATATTTGGAGCTACCATGTTTCTGTGGCCAGTACTTTAAATATGTCTGCTGATTAGCACAAATTACTCAGTTTCCACCATGCCTGACCTAGAATGAATGAAGAACCTGAGGCATTAAAAAAAAAGTCAAGAAAATTCTACAAATTCTAAATCAGATGTCCATGTTCTAACTAATTCTGCTTATCTAATTACAGAACACTGTTTTCTGTCAGTATATTGTGATGTGACTAGTGGGTAAAGTGGGTACCAGGAAAAATGAGATTTAACAAGTTGTAATCATTGTAGAATTCTAAGATTGTGCTGGCTTTAGCCATAGTAGAGGAGGATTCTTGTTGAGTTTAGTCTCAATCCTAATGTTTCAATACTTTGTTTTCAGACATTCACGGAAACGCTGGGAAAACTTCATCCACAGTGAGAACAGACATCTTGTTAGCCCTGAGGCCCTAGACCTTCTGGACAAACTTCTGCGATATGACCATCAACAGAGACTGACTGCCAAAGAAGCCATGGAGCACCCATACTTCTGTAAGTCTCCAGGGACTTTTTATGGGGTCTAATTTATTAAAGGGAAAAAAAAATCTTTCACATCTTTGAGGCCTGTTAAGGAAAATCTAGGTGTTTGGCATGGATCATTCTTGGAACTAGTCCTCACTCATTGTAGTCATTGAAACAACTTTCAAGACCAGATTTTTGATCCCCAAAGGCATTTGCTCATTCACCAGCTGTAGTTCCCTTGAGTCCAGTCTTTTTGGCCACTCCTGTCACCCTGAGAAAGACATTCTAAGTATCTAAAATTTGTTTTCAAATGTCATATTTGTGGGGAAACCTAATCAAAGATTTCTCCCCTCAAAACACAAGTAATTGGCTAAAAGTAGTAAGATAACTATAATGAATTTCTAAAGAAGGCAGTCGATAAAAGAGATTTGAAGGAAGACCTCACTAGGATCTAACTGGATTGCTTACCTGTGTAACCACGTGTGGTTGAGGTTCTGCGGGCACGTGGCTTTTCCCACTGAATAAAGTGTTTCAGATATACTTTCCCTGTGTTATTAGCAATGTGAGATTTCATCCAGTTAGAGAAGAAAATGGAGAATAAGGAAATTAAGTGACTAGTGACTTACTGCAGTTCACCCTCTGAATCAAGATGAAAACTCTTATTCCTTGAAGTTTTTGTCTGTTGTTAGACCAGCATGCTATCTCTCCCTCTCCTTCCTGCCCCCACCCAGAACCCTATCACCACCCCATTATTCCCAGCCTGAAGGTTACACTGCTGTGGTCTTAGACCTAGGGAAGTAAGTACCAGGAGACAGCAGAGTTAAAAGGTCTTAACCCTTCAGCATTCTGGACCCCAGACAGTGGAATTCAGATGTCCTCTTTACAATTTCTGACACAGAAAGGTGTTCTAACCCTTCGAGGTGGGTCAAATTAAGAAAATTGATATTATACATAATTCATGATCTAGCTATTTTTCTAAATACAAAGTATACTTCAATTTAAAAAATTTTAAGCCACTGTTGCTTAAAATTGACAGGCTTCTATTCACCTTTTCCCCTGATATGCTTATTATTGCACATGCTTTAAAGAAATTAGGGGTTGAATATTATGTTGGTATTCAAAGAAAATAACACATAAATTAGTGGGAATTTTGAACAGTAGGAAATTAGGGTTTTTATGCCTCTCAGCAATTGAGTCTGTCCTCTGAGGAAATAGAAAAATTGACTGTAAGAACAGTTCCCCTGATTCTTTGTGTGTGGTTTTTGTGGGACCTAAGTTCTGTGATTTCTGCCTCCCTCTCTGGACCTCCTGACACTGGCTTGCCCAGGAGTCTATGTGTGTCCATGTCTCACTGGGAAAGGGGCTGATCTGTTGTGACTTCCCCTCCTGCACTTGAATCCTGACTTGGTTGCGTTGTGTCCTGCTTTCTTGCAGACCCCGTGGTGAAAGAGCAGTCCCAGCCTTGTGCAGAGAACGCTGTGCTTTCCAGTGGTCTCACGGCAGCCCGGTGAAGACTGGAGAGCGACGGGTAATGCGGCCTTGATGCTTGCCAATAAAACCAAGCACCAAACACAAACCTTGAAGGAAACTACAGTGTGATAAAAGAGAAATTTTAATCATTCCTTCTAAAGGCAAAGAAGAGTAAAGACCTAAAAGTCTGTCAAAAAGACACTCCCCAGTACTAGTCTACAGGGAGCTGCCATTGTGGCAGCATGATGATGCACATAGTTCAGGATCTGAGGGACTCTCCCTTTGGAATGCATGGGAGATGAGAAACTCGGAGTTGTTGTACATTTACCTTCACTTTACAAGACACCACTATTGAATTAACCCGTTCGGTCAACAAGCTCTGAATATCTGACTTCCTATCTATTCCATTGTGGTCTGGTTTCCTTTTGTGAGAATTCAGGCTCAAGTTTTAGCAAATGTCAGCAGGCTATACTGACACACCAGCCTCATTTATTAAAAAGAGATATTAAAACAGTGACAGTATTTTTTTTTAAGCTCTTTTACAAATTCATGTTTTATGTATTTTTTTATGACATGAGCTCTCCAGGAAAAGTCCCTCATCCTTGCAGTTTTCCTCTTAAGTGTATGCATTTGGGAGCAAACTGCAGTCAATTTCAGAATCCTATGATGTCAGGAGACATCACTTTAAATCTTGAGATGCCATCAGCAGATCCGTCGGTAACCTTTGAGCTCTCACGGTAACCTTTGTTGATTTGCCTAACCACAGAATCCCATTGCTGATTTTGTTTACTGTGCCCCTCACCTCCTTTTGTAGCCCTGTAAGGAGAATTTCACCATTTCCCAGCGCATCCCTGTGTGTGCATCTATTTTAATGTACCTCTCTGAAAAAAATTACTTTTTTATTGTTCTTTCTTTTTTCTTTTTTTTTTTTTAATAACCATAACTGAAGCTGGAAAATCAGTTTTCAGGCAGGTCAAGAAGGGAGAAAATGTCCTATTAGGATTTATTCAGGAAATACTTATTGGAAAAAAAATGTATCCTCATCCTTTTTCCCTCTTTTTATCCCCATGACAATACCAGCTATAATCAGGGTAATATGCATTTTAAGCTCTGATAATGTGAATGTGATGGCAAAGATAAGTCTGGCATGCAGGTACTGACAACATGTGGGCAAGACCATCCTGTAACTGAGAGGAGAGGAATGTGCAGGGGGGTGGGGATGAAATGGAGCTCTTGGAGCCAGTGTTAAAGTTTTGGATCCACTGTGCTAAAGTCCATGTTAACAAAGAAAGCTACATTTTTGTTTAAAAAAAAAAAGAAAATAGGGCTGATTTAATTTTGGGGACTTGTAACCAACAAGGTTTATTGGCTGTTCCCTGGTCCCCAGCTGCAGACTTATGCCTCAGCTCTGGGGACCTAGCATGTCTAGAATAGAGCTAGAGGTGTCTACCACCACATCACACTTAGGACTTCTTTATTAACTATTTAATAATGCCGTACATTTTTATAAGGTTAGATTGTTTGTTTGAAACATCTGTTTACATTCCATATCCCAATAAAATCATATTGGTATTGGTAGCAGGTCCTATCTCTAAATGTAGATTCTATTTTTGTCATTTGGTCTGTGGAAACTTAAATTGCAAATGAAACTCATAGAGTTGAGTTTATAGATTAAAAAATAAGATTCTGAAGCCAGGAAATACATTCACTTAAGGTTCTCATACCAATACCGCCTGCCTGCATTGCACAGTCTGCATATTGATGTATACATTTATTTTACCTGAAAATTAAAAACAAGATGTTAGTGAGCTCTCAAATGAACCTATTTCAATAAGTCAGGCAGCGAAATTCAGTGTTTTGAATTATCAAAGGCCTCTCACCCGCCCTTATGGGCAGCCTGAACCATTGGTTATCAGGGAGAGTGCCACTGTGTCTTTCCTGCTCCCTACCCCATTTCCTCCTCCATCACCCATGCCTCTCCCCTTACCTTGCTTTTCTCTTGTCTTTCCCTTTCTCCTTTTCTTTTCTATTCCAGCTGCCTTGATCAGGCAAGAGTACCCTCCTGGAGGGGTTTTGTAGAGCCATAAACCTGCTCCTTTCCCTTGGGTCCTCCAGAGGCAATGAAAGCATCTGGAGAAGGGTCATGTGATAGGCTTCTGCCCCTTCTTCCTTTGGCCATGTTTCAGGTGGCACAGCACAACTGACCTGCCTGTCCTGGGTCGGTACTGCAGCTTTGGCACAGCAGTTATCCTTTTGAGCGTGTGGTTTGTTTCCACAGCACCTATTCTTACCTCTCTTCATGCCTTAGACTTGGAGCATTCCTGGCTTTGAAATGCTCACTCCCTTCTGGATCTGGACTTGACACCTAAGCTGTTCTTTCCAAAACTTAAATGAGTCTCGTCTAGTCCTAGTCCTCTCTTTCACTGGTCTCCAAGTCCATTTTGTGTCCAGATGGCCCAAGCTCCCCTGAGATATTAGAGTGTTTGCCTGGGTTAGGAGATGGTCTTGGAGAGTCCTCAAGGAGGGTGGGTGTGTATGTCTGTGTGAGTGAGAGTGTGTGTAGCAGTGGGAGTCTAGTCTTACATTTAGACTAAACTAAATAAGTTTACCCATCCAGTATCTTTTAAGTCAGCATATTCTTTTTTAAACTCAGTAATTTTCATTTGTTTGCTTCGTTACCTTATAACAAGTTAAAAGTGCCTATGACAAGGACTTAATTCTTTCCTAAAGAAAAGCAAAAAACATGGGGAACAGGGTAGTGTTGCACCGTCATCTCAGGTACTGCCTGTGTTCAGGAACATAGACCTGTAGGGTGAAGATAGAAGGTGCCTGTGCTGAATCCAGGTCAGGGTCTCACGGTTGGTGGCCACAAGTGAGCTTAACTGCAAGGGTGCTTCAGCCAAGGAATTTCAGGGTGTGGGTGGAACTGATGCAGGGCTAACCAACATTCTCAATGGTGACTGTGTGGCAGTTTACTCTCTCCAGGTTCTTGTCAGCTGACTGGTTCCCATCCTGTCCTGTGGCAGGCGGCTGGATAGGAGATGCTGTTGCGTGCATAGTGTGGCAGTATTCTGCTGAGTATTGCTGGGGCTTCTTACCAATCAGAGCAGTGCCTGTGCCAATTCAGTGATGCCCTCAGGCACCAAGCATTCTGCCAGGTCTTGTCACGGGTGTTCGAATGCATCAGTGCTCACCAGGCTTAGAGCACATGTATTCCCATAGAGAGGAAGGTACTCTCAGGCCGATTGACTCAAGGAGACAGAAGAGCTCAGAATCCTGGGAATGTGAAGAGAGTGACTGGGGGGAGGGGTAGGTAAAAGGAATCCATAAGAAAAATGACCTAACTGTAGGTCTTGAGGGAATATCCTTGAAAGGCTGAAATCAGGGGACACCAAGTTCTGACGGGTGCCCTGGAGGAGGACGCTGCCCTCTGGCTTGGGTCCACTGGGCCTTTGAGAGGTGGTATCTTGATTTAGGTGCTGAGTCCCAGAGAGCTGGTGCCAAGGGTCTTGTCTCTGCCCACTCAGGGAAATGGCAAGTTCTCCCAGGTGCTGCATTGATGCAGATGGAAGCAAAGCTACTTTGGAACACAAATCAGTCAGAAGAATTTTGAGATACGCATTGAAATCTAAGAGAGCCCCAGTTAATGGTCTCCTCAGTGCCAGTTCAGACTGATTCGTTAGAAGCCTGTGTTACTGTGTGAGCACCCACAGGGAAGAGCAGACCTCCCTCCTGCAATAAATGAGTGGATAATAACTGGTGAGAGTCACATTCACTTAAGTAGAAACCCTCTGAAAGCAAACTCTGGGTCCTCATGAGACACAAGCTCAGGTTTGTCAGTGGGCTTAATAAATTAAAACTGAAGAATATCCTGCCTTTTAAAACCTTAAGTCCAGAATGGGGATATTGGGGAGGGGAGGTTGAAAGGAAACCAGTAATAACCTGCTTCTGAGCTTTATGAATGTGTTAATGAAAACACCCCCAACCAGGGATTGTAGAGGCTGGGAAGAGATGTGATGGGGTATACAGTGATGCATACTTTTGTGTCAATACTCAACAATGTGCTACAAATGTGATTCTTAACCCTGAACTGCATGTATTGGGGATTGTTTAAAAAACAACAAAAAAAACCTTTGAATCAATAAATTAACAGTTTTTCACTTGCTGGCTCTTCTTGCTGTAAATGGTTGACTAAGCGTTTGTGACAAATCTTGACATCCAGTGGAAAGCTTGGATACTCTTCAAGAACCGTGGAGCCTTCTTTTTGCAGAAAAGCAACACTGCCTGGGTTTGATCCATTGCAAGTGACTACTTCAGACACAGTTGGCCACCTCTGTGTATCTCTGGATGACTGATGTGTGATTCATGTGCTACTGCCCTTAGAGGGAAGAAAAATGCCATGTTAAATCCTGTTTTCCTAAATAAAAATGTTGACAATACCCAGCCTTCCCGAGTGGGAGACAAGCCATTGCTATGAGGACCTTAACTTGTATTTCCTGTCTCTTCGGGGAGGGAGGGATAAACCTTGAACTGCAAGGATGTGTATGGTGGTTGCAGATCATCACCGTGCGTGAAGTTGAATTAAAGACGTGGTGGGATTGTTTTGTATCTGAGTTGCACCACTCAGACACCTGCTTCTTGGGATTGACTTGTTGGTGACTTTAACTTTGTAGCCCATTGTTCTGCACTTGTGAAAGTCTCCCCTGCGCCAGTCCTCACAACACATGCAGGCACATGTGAGCACGTGCAACTGTTGAGCGATGATGGTATCTTTTTTATTAGTGTGCTTTTTTTTTTCCTCACTGATCACTGTGGAATTGGACTCTTGGAAATCAGTGCTTAAAGGCAAATACGGTAATTTCTTAATGTGCTTCGGCAGGCATTCTCAAATATTAATCAATGGAACCTTTACCCAAAGGAAGTTTTCATCAAATAACTGTGTGACAGTTTCCCAAGGGCAAAGTGCCTTCCCTCAGTATTGCTAAACGGCCCTGGGAGACATATCTGTGCTGGCGTCTCACCATCCACTTGCTGTGCCAGATGGGAAAGGAGGAGTGGGTTTTCAGGCCATGCCAGGCAGCTGTTTGCTTCCAGCGCAGAGTTGAAAATACTGTCACTTGTTCCCTTATTGGTGGACTCGGCCCTTTTCTCTGAGTACATGCCAAGTCATCTTCTCATTCTTGGTCCCAAGATGTCCTTAATAAATTGGATCAGGTTAAGTGTGATCTGGTGTTGGACTGCTTGACTTGCATGGAGTGGTTATGGGGCTTGACAACAGCGTCCTGGACGCTGGAGAGTCGACTATGGCATGGTGTGTCCAGAGCTCTCCCCTTCCTCTCCAGAAGACTGCCTTTTGCAGTCAAAAGGGCAGGAAGAGGGTACTCTGAAACCTGGAATCATGCAGCGGGTTCTCACTGCATGTTCCTGAAAGTGGCTTGGGGAGGTCAAGCTTGCATTCTACCCCCAGCCCTCTTCAAGAGAAGGAAGCCCCACGCAAGTAGAGGCCTGCCCCACTCTGGGTCAGATTGATTAATGCCGTCTTTCCCCTCCTCCCATCTCTCCCCAGGTCTGTTGCGGTACCTCCCACTTTTCCATAAGCAGAACAAGAACCAAATCAAACGTCTTAACGTGTGTAGCGAGATCACGTTCCGTGAGCAGACACAAAACGGTGGCAGGTTTGGCGAGCACGAACTGAAGGGCAGCCTACCACCGTATATCAAACCTCACTTCCGAATGTAAAAGGTTCACATGCCTTGACTTCCTGTTGACTTCCTCCCGACCCAGAAAGCATGGGAAATGTGAAGGGTATGCAAAATGGTTGTTGGTTACTGTTGCTCTCCACGCCCCTTGACGTGTCCTGTGGCCACCTGTTTTTCCAGCAAACCAAGTTAATTAGCTGACCACAGACACCACAGTGGGGGAATGGGGGCAATATATGGCATGACGGGCAGTTACATATTATTTTAAAAGTATATATTATTGAATAAAAGGTTTTAAAAGAAATGTATGGAGAGTTTTCAGTATGGAAAGGACCATTTAAAAAGACCTGTGACCATGGAGGACTGAGTGACAGAAGATCTTGTGTGCCAGGTTCCAACCAGAGGAAAGTGGGGGAAGTCCCGAGGTGAGGAGGGCCAGTTATAAAGAGCAATGCAGAGAAAAAGGAGTGTTCAGAGGTGTGGAGTGAACCATCCTAGGAGTGGGGCAACCAGAGAAAGGAAGTACCCAGTGGGCTGGGAGAGCTGGCCAGTGGCCACCCTGGGCCCCAGTCTGAATTGGGTGAGTGGCCCAGCATTTGAAGTAGGTAAATATTGCCTCCACTGAACTCAAAAAGATGCCTTAGCCCTTTTTTTGCTGTCCCTTGGCTTATGTCTGAACATTTCATTCCATGTCCTAATCCTGCCCACCACCCCCTCTGAAAAAACACCTCATCCCAGAGGCTGGTGGAGCCTACTGTCCAGAGGCAGGGGAGGGATGAGCTGGGGGCTGCTCCTGGTCATGTTCTGACGCTCCATGAATGAGAAGTGAACTGGTCCTCCCAAATGGCAAAGAGGCTGGAGTGGAAGCAACAGTTGTATCTGTTTAGTGAAAACAAAACCAGTTTTACAAACAGCTTTGCTGGCTCCCTCAGACCTGGGTCTTACCTCCCAGAACAGCTGTGCCGGGGGTGGGCAGTGAGAACAGTGGCCACAGCCTGGTGGCCACCCAGCCTTGCCTCTGATGGCTGGGCCTGTGTCCTCCCACTGCCTGTAGAGGGCAGAAGAATAAGCAGAAGCGGACACCCAGGTTGGGGTGCCGGCCTAGTCTCCACAGAGGCCATTTGTTCCACACAACACTCCTCCTCTGCTGCTTGTTCTGAACAGCTGTGTGAATCCAAGTGTGGACACTCAGGGCATGTGGAGCAATTATAGAAAAAGGCAAAGAGGTCCCTGTCAGGGCTGCCACCACCACACCACAGTGTCCTTTGGACCAGCTTCTGCCATTTTCAAACAATTCCTCAGGCCTGAGAGCTTGAAATTACCTGTCCCTGGATACCAGCGAGTGAAAACCCACAGGCCACCAGCAGAGGACTTTGTCAGGCCAGTGGGACATAAACAGACTTGGTACTTCCTGGCCCCATCACTGACCTAATTTATTTAAGCTGAATCTTTTGTGGGGCCCTTTTTGCCTCAAGGCTCTACAAATTCTTGTTGGTCTTCCAGATCTCTGGGATGGCATCAAAATACCTCATTTGAATGTGTGTGTTTTACCTACACAGCATGTATGTGTTATCTCCATGTGGACCTGCTGGTGTTTAAGGCCCTTTCCAGATGTGGAGGGTCTTGTACAAACAGGTCCACAAGTGGTGGGCTTGGGGCTTGGAATGTTCGCTTTGCCCTCAATTTCTCCTCCTGTCTTCAACCCTGGCTCTCCTTAACTTTCCAGTATGGAAGTCTCAATTTCCAGAAACTTCTGAAGGATATTAAATAAGCTTGGGTTTTGTGGATGGTTATGGTTGGGGAGGAGAGTGGTTGTAGAAGGAAGCAGAAGGAGAAGTTTTTGCTTAGGTGGTTTTGACTTTGAGAGAAGGGAGCCTGCTGACCCAAGGATCATCTGCAGTTCATCCACAGCAGACTTGGAGTTTCAGAATCACATCTTCCAACAGTCCTGTTTGTGTTTTGGTGGTTTAATATTTATTGCATTTTCCTGGAGATCGAAATAATCCATGCTTGTGGTAAATAAATTCAAATGAATTTTATCATTATCAACAGAAAAGTTGATGAAGCCCCATCACTATGCGCGCAGGTGCACACATGCACGCCCTTTCTTCCGTTGGAGGTAACCACTGTTAAAATTGGTGTGTATGCTCCCATTTTTTCCTATGCATTTACTAACATTGATTTTCATGGTAATAGGAATGTAATAGAAATGTAATTGAACTCTGTTATTTACCAGAAACTTGGCATTTTCACTTAACTGAAAATCTTATTGTGTATGTGTGTAGATCTACCTCACCCCTTTATCACAGAGGCATGGTATTCCATTGTGTGACGGATCACAACTGAAACAATTCCTTCTTGATAGACTCTGGGTTGTTTCTATTTTCAGTATTGCTGCAGTGGGCAAATCTGCACATAAGTTTTTTTGAATTGGTTATATGTGAATAAAATCTTAAAGAGTTACTATGCCATATGATTTTTTTTAAAATGTTATGATTCTGAGAAAGCAGTGTTCTACCCCTTCCACACTCGTACAGATTAGACCTGCCATGACTTTAGTCATGGAGTTCTTGGGGGGTTTAGGCACTTGGGGCCTGGTGCCCAGTGCCTGTGAGCTTTCTGGGGACCTACAGAAATGTTCAAATCTGAAAAACAAGTGATGACTCTACATTAAGAAAGTTGAAAATAAAAATTAAGTGGAATTAAATGTCTTAAAATGGATAATCCTGTGAAATTCATTGTTGTTAAAGTCAATATTTACTTTAAAAAATACTTTTCTCATTCCAGTGAGTTACCATCATAAAATCCAATGATTCCACAAGCAAATTCTAAAGATTTTTTTTAATTACAGGAAGAAATTATCTTAAGTATGAAAAATAGTTTCATTTTAATGTATTTGGAATGCTATGGAAAAACCTTCAAAAGTAAGCATGCCGAGGGCCAGCAAATGTTTTAAAATAGCCCTGGCTAGAGAGGGCCAGGTGGAATGGATGAGCAACATTTCTAGAATATTATTCTTCAGGCTGTTGAAATAATGTGCCTCTCAAATGATTATGCTAGGTGAAGAAGCCAGACTCAAAAAGCTGCACACTGAGTGATTCCATTTATGGGATATTCTGGAAAAGGCAAACCAGGGATGAGAGCAGGTCTGCGGTTGCCTAGGATTAAGGATGGCTACAGAGGGTTAGTATGAGGTCATTTTGGGGGGTGCTGCAATCATTCTGTGGCCTAAATGTGATGGTTGTATGACTTGGTGCCTTTGTCAAAACTGTACACCAAAAAAAAAAAAGTACATTTTATTGTTTGTAAACTTAAAAATTCATTTTAAAAAATAACAATAATGTACAGGGGCCTAACAGCGTCCCTTTGGACTTCAGGCTCAGATTAGCAGGAACCTCGTCTGCCCGCCTCTGACTTTTCCTGATAGTCAGGACTGATGGTTTTCCTTGGATAGAAGTGCTAGGACCCGCTTCGGTTGCCAGCTGAAGACTCCAGGCATTCAGGGCACGCTTCCATATTTGCTCCCAGCTGAGGGACAAACTCCACCTCGTTGCTATGCCTCTCCCTCCTACCCCCCTTATCAGCAGGGAGAGGTGAAAATTTAAGTTTTGCCTTACAGTGCATGGCATGTCTGTCCCTTGTGTGTCCCAAGGGAAGGTTCTCTGTGTTTCTAGACTTGGACTGACAGGAAGGGTTACTGTCCTCTGGGTGTTAGCATCTGACCAGGGTTTTTATGCACTGAAAGGAATGCTTATAACTACTTATGTTTCAAATATGTCTTCATTATTAAAATTGTACATTTAAAAATCTCATTTGTGTCTTAAAGATCAATTTACAAATCTTGTATTCATGGCTGCAAACTAATTGATTTTGTATATAAATGTGAATACTTGCTTAACTTTTGATTGATGGTCAACTAATTCCAAACTTAATGGGTTAACAGTAAATGTTTACATGCTTAATCTAGTTACCTTAAACATTTCAGACTCAATCACATTCTCGATCTGTTTGGTTTGCACAAATATTTTCAATAGCAAATATGAAAAATCTAAAATCTGATGAAAACTTCCTAAGCATTTGAAAACTAATAAGTCTAAGTCTAAACTCATAAATTTAATAAATTGAAATTTCTTAAATGAAAGGTTTTAAACATTAAATTTTCTTGGACATGATAAAATTAAAATCATATCTAATTTCAAATTCCTTTAAGCATTTTGATTTAAGTTCAAAACATCAGATCCTCTTAATACATTAGGTCCTCTTTAATATTTCAAATATCTAAAAATATGATCACCACAATCGGAAACTTATTACCCAATTTGATACAGATTATTGAGATCATGGTTTAGTTTACTTGCCATAATGTCTGTGTGGGGTTTTTTGTTTGTTTTTGTTTTTATTTTTTTGGGGGGAGGTACCAGGGATTGAACTCGGGCACTCAACTACTGAGCCACATCCCAGCCCTATTTTGTATTTTATCTAGGGACAGGGTCTCACTGAGTTGCTTTGCACATCACTTTTTGCTGAGTCTGGCTTTGAACTCGTGATCTTCCTGCCTCAGCCTCCCAAGCCACTGAGATTACAGGAGTGCACCACTGTGCCTGGCATATCTGTATTTTTTGATACCCCACCAAGGGGGACATACTATGCCTCAGCCTAGAACTTCACTATGTTCATGGTCAGATTTCCTGTCCCCCATCCATAACAGGATGGCAAGTGCTCTACGGCTGAGCCACATCACCAGCCCTTTTGTACAAGTTTTAATTGCCTGATCTGCATGAATTGAACTTCTGTACCCACTGCAGTTGCTCTACTGCCTCCTTGGAATCTTCCTCCTTTTAACTGATTACCTTTTTAAAAATCTGACTACAGCCACTTATTAGCGTGGTTTCTCATATTTTGTTCTTATATATCTTTGTATTGAAGGGAATGCAAAACACAAGAACTGTAATGCTTAAAGCATATGTCTGTGGGAGACATGATTTTAGGTTAATTTGGTCTACATGACCTTTGAAATGAACACTGATGTCTGAGATGAACTTTTGCTCTCCATCCATTTATTCATTGACTGCCTATCATGATGATGGGTAGTGTGCTAAGTCCTAGATGCACAGAGAAAGACACAGTCCATATCTGGAGGGAGTATGCACAAACTAAGCCAGAGGAGCAAACCCGTTAATTTATGTTTTCCCTAATGGAATAGGGATGGAATAATCTTTACTGTGACCAAGGTTGTGATCACAGTACATCTCAAACCTTGACATGACGGAGAATGGAACACAGTTTATGCTGATGAGTAGCTGG